CAAAACAATCAATGGCGCAGAAGATTTACAAATAGCTCTCCATTCTCATTGATTTCACCCAGCGCCTTTAGATACGCGATGAGTTTTCTTCCTGTGTATTCTGCTCCCAGTTTAGTTTAAATTTATATCAAAAATAATAATTTTAATGTCACTTCTTGACGTCTTCTCCATTACCGTTCGTAGGTATCTGTAGACGTTCCCTTTCTTCTTTTGCTCTACTTTGTTCGTTATTTGAGATAATAACACCTGCTAAATTTTGTTTTTTTTTTGGTTGGAGGATATTATCATGAGCAGATATCAGTTAGAGAACCAATGAAAAACCTGCAGGGAGTACTGCCAGACAGCTGTTTTCTCCGTCCTTGTTTGAGACTCTTCAAAAGTACTCGCCCATCGCCAGGGTTTGAACCCAGAACCTTCTGGTTACAAGGCGAAGTCGTATACCATTGGGTTCAAACCCTTGCGATGGGAGCGAACTGCTGAAGAGTCCCAAACTAGGACGAAGGAAACAGCTTTCCAGTACTCTCTGCAGGTAGTCCAATGGTTCTTTAACTGATATCAGCTAATGATGAAATCCTCCATCCAACAAGCCGAATTCCTTACAAAACCAATACTTGAAAATTTTATTTTTATCAAAAGTGGCCATATTGGCTTCTCGAACTCTACCATTCATCGTCGCTGTACTATTTTCCCCGATTCTAGAAGACAATGAAGTTATCTTGTTTGTACGCTTAAACATTAGTAACATTAAGGCTTTGTCCCCTTTTAACCAGTAAAATATGCTAAACTGCTACCTTGTTGCGTAAAATTAAGTGATTTTTTTCAGCTAGCTAAAATGAAATCCAAAAGAGAAAATTAATTTTCTGAAAATTTAAAGCTTTTCTAATAACGGACTTCAGATGGCCAAAAAAGATCAGCAACAGGGAGGGATCTCTGGCAATTAGCGAACCAACCCAGCAAGAACCAATTGTGCAAAAAATCTGCAGGATAAAATCGAGTTAGGTGGATTAGCCATACTCTGAGAAAACAAAACATCGCTTGCATGGAACCCAACTAAATGGAAGGTGGTGAGTTGGTCGTCAGCGTGAGGTTGACATTGAAGAGGTCATGTGAAGAGGAGATGAAAGCATGAAAGCAGAGTTGGAGCCAGGTGAAAAGGTTGGCAGAGAACAGAATGCAATGGAGACGTGCGACTGAAGCTGTATGTTCCTCTAGAAACTAAAAGGAACAATAATAATGATAACTGACTTGGCAGAATTAATGTTTTGGACCTTTCCGATACCGCAATGACTGAGGTGTTTATGATCTCCTTTAAACAGAAACATACTGAGATTAAAATCAGATAGAATACAGCACAAAGTAACTAAAATAAACTCTTGTAATATAAACAATTGGATTAATTATGTTTGACTAAATTTCAGTTACCGTTGATGTTATGAATATTGTACGCAGTCAATGCGTTAATACAGAAATAGAAAAAACAGGGACATACAGACGTGCACCCGCGCGCGCACACACACACACACAGGGGTGTTTGAAAATTATTATTATTATTATTATTACTTTAAATACAAACAATAAATCTAAATATGCGGCATGTTATTCTATGATTTACTGTGTAGGAAATTTCCTGGAACAGTAATTTTTTAATATTTTGATGTTTATTTTAACGTTGTTAATACGCGAGGATGAAGTGTAAAAATATCTTATAACAAACCTTTTGCACAGTTAATTAAAGGTATGACATAGTTTAGTGTAAGCGTTCTGCAAGAACGTTTTCTCCTATCACTTCCAAATTCCAAGTATGACATAGGGCTTCAGTCTATGAAGTTAGATTATATATGATGTTTTCAAGGAGCAGAACTGTTTAACCTAAAGTCTAACTTGCTCTGGTTCCCCAGCTTCGTTATCAACTGGTAGACAATGTGAGGTTTGACATTGAGTCGGCCTAAAACTGAACCTGGACTATATGCGCGCTTGGTGAGGATTCTAACACTGAGTTACCGACCATCATCTGCAATTGGAGAATTTCATTGGGAAATCATATGCTGTTTGTCAAAGTACTCTAAAACAGCCAAAAATTGTAAACGTGACTAGAGATTATCCTGTCTAGCGTATTTTAGTCCAAAAGATGCATGATTTCAGATGATATACGGATAAATCATAAGAATGCATACACGAGAGACACATAAATTCTTGTACAAAATGGGCAAAGCCCGTACTGTCAGACTCCCTGCACCCCCTTTTATTCCCAACTATCCCCTAGCATCTCATCAGGTAGGACGAGAAGTCAATATAAGAAGTTACATGCTCGAACCACTAAGTACAAAAATTCTACACTACCCTATTTAGCCCGTATTTTATGTGATGAAGACACTGCTAGACGTCAAACATAGAAGTTAGCAAAGTGAATCGACCCTTTCATCGTTGATCTTTCTGTAATTTTATGGTGTCACTCTTTCGATCATTTAATTACAACTTAGCGATTTTATTTTAGTTGTTAATATTATTATTATTACTACAACTTTATATTTTATGCATATTTTTCTCCTTATCGCATACTGTAATTTGCTATACAGCTGCTATAACAACGTTTCGTTATTATTATTATATAGTGTTTTTTTCTTCTTATCGTTTTGAGTAAATTAGATACAATATTGTCCTGAATGCTGAAAATTCCTTGCGTATCATTAGTACTTTTCTGGAGTAAAGCAAAAATTATTATTATTAAAAAAGTCACCTTTGTATAGTTCTGTTTTTCAAAGTTCTAATTGTTTGTAGATGACAGAAAATATAGTTTAGGTCTAATCAGGTTCTTCAAGTGAGAACTGTTATTTTTTGATTGTTGGAAACGCCTGTTCCCAGAGTCATATAATAACTCAGTCTAATTATGTTCCATAAATGATTCGAACCAAGGTCAACTAGTGCTGCAGTCCAAGACGTCAATACTGAGCTATTTGGGATCGCAACTGACTTTCTGTGTGACTGTAATGGATGCTTTAATAGGACAATAGGTAGTGTTTGGTGTTCTGCCCGTAGTCCTCGATGTTGATACAGGCTGAATGCTACCAGTCATGTTTGCAATGTAGCCACCATACTATGCAGATCATCGTCATCGTGTAGTCCGAATCGATGTTAAATGATTACCTTGGGTCTAAGTCTCGTGCTTGTTGACACTCATCAGCATGGAATATATGTAACCTTAAAGGAATTGATTTCACTTCTGAGATTTAAATACGTATCACCCAGGCCTACACTCAGAGAGGTTCTTATTGGGTTATTCGGGCTCACAATCAACCTCCCATAGGACTGTAAACGATTTATTGATTTCGGTTCCTCCAAATTATAGGAACTCCATGCTGACGAGTGCCAGCCAACTCGAAGACTAGGTTCAAGATCTCTTGCCTACTGCCTCTAACCATCTAACAGGAGTCCAGTCAATTCAGTCCAGATAAAAAAACTAATACCCCTTGGAACATTAGATTGAAAAAAAACAAGAAGTTCAGCATAGATGGCGATCTTTTCGGCGATTTCATTCTCAAAAGCAGCTGTACAGTCGCATTTATATGGATGAATTTACATGGATACAATTTATTTATTTATTTAATTTCACATATTAACGAAGTTGATAATAATTTTCAACTTGATATGTAAGTTAGGAGATAGATTACAAAAGGCATAGAAACAAAAAATTACACAGAATCAAAATATAATTGTAAAACGGTTATTCTAAACGGATTACAAGTGTGATCAGGAGGAGCATGGAAACAAATTTGAAATAACTGATTTTATAATTGAAAAAAAAGTGAGACGAATTGAATGAAGGCAAAGAGAGAAAATTACACACACAGATAACAAAACAAAAAATCTGGAGGATAAGGGAACATACCGAACATACCGGTCCATGGTAGTTTTAAAGGCTGGTCTGGTTTCTTTTGAACACCTGTCTCCGGCTTTTCGATGCATATGGCGAGAGCTGCCGCAGTACAAAGAAGTCAGAAACACACTGCCTTTGGTAGATTTTTGTTTACTTTGTAAATGACTATAAATGATGAGTCAGTTGGGATTCTGTGACAAGTATTGACGAGATGTTCAGTTATTGCGCTTCTGATTGAACCAGTACCTCCTCTTTGCAGCCATGCTGGATGATGTTGTCTAACACGTTTTCACAAGACCTGCATAGAACGACGTATTTACCTAGCTCCACAAGAGCAGGTGAACTGATATATGCACACTGAAGTGATAATATGCGGAATTCTGTCCTTCCCGTTGCTCCGAAGTATGTGTAATTTTCTCTCTTTGCCTTCATTCAATTGATCCCATATTTTTCAGTTATCAAATCGGTTATTTTAGGTTTATTTCCATGCTCCTCCTGATCACACTTGTAATCCGTTTAGAATAACCATTTTACAATTATATTCTAATCCTGTGTAATTTTTTGTTTCTGTGCCTCTTGTAATCTATATTCACACCTCCTAACCTAAATTTCAAGTCGAAAATGTTAATTTCAATTTGTTTCTATGCTCATTTTGTTCACACATGTAAATCGTTCTATCCCTGTGTCTCAAAGCCTCTTGTAATTCATATCAAGTTGAAAATAATTATCACCGTTTATTCGCCTTTAAAATTATTTATTTCTCCAGTTATCAAATATTAATCTTGCCTACGTTGTAACTATTTTCGAATCCTATGCAATCTTGTCTCTAAGCCCCTTGTAATCTATATTCATACTTTCAAACTTTCATATCAAGTTGAAAATTATTATCACCATCGTTACTATGTAGAATTAAACAAATGATAATTGTATCCATGTAAACTAGTGTATATAAATGCGATTGTACAGCTGCTTTTGAGAATGACACCGTAGAAGAGATCGCCATCTCTGCTGAACTTCTTGTTCTTTTCCAAAAACAAATAGAAATTAAAACTACAAATGAATACCAGGTACTTTATCCTCGACAAACTTCTGCACTTATGAATTTTTTTCTCTTCGACCTTTTTAGGTTCTTCAAGTTCATTACCTTCACTGGATACTGGGGGTAGTAGTTCAACTGGTGGTGGAGGATGTAGCAGTGGTCATACACAAGCAGATCAAGAAGATCAACCTACTGGAGAAAAGTTGAATTTAAACAGCTCTACAGTTTTACATTCCCCTTCTAAGTCAGCAAAAGTTGAAAGTGACAGTGATAAACGCGTATCACACAGTCCACACCGCCCCCACACTGATGATACAAAAGAGTCTCAGGCTGAAAATCTATCAAATTTAGCAGCGGATAGAACAGCATTAGTTTTGGTGAGTTTATAAATTTGCAATTAATAGTGTACTCTGAGCTGGTTGGTTGAGTTGTGGAGCCTTCATCGTCCCCCTCCTGGACAACATCTTCAGCGCAACTTTTACCATAAAGTGAAATGATTTAAATTTCTTCATGAGTGGTAGAATTGCATCTCCCGGTAACTATCTTCACACATCTGTATTGATCATTTTCTATTGACTTGGATTTTAAACTTTCTGCTCACATGATTTACTTTTTATTAGTTGGCGGTATATTTGGTCTATAATAACGTATTTGTTAATTGCATATTATCGTTTGAGTATCAGGCTTCTAGGAATTCCTTGACTACACTTTTGGTGTTTCCTGTCTGTCTAAGATTTCGACATTATCCTAATCAAACTGGTGTCCATAATTGTCTATATGCATTGATATGAATGAATATATATCATGTCTTTTCACAGCTGATTTGTGTTCCTGGATTCTGATTCGAAGGGGACGTCCACGTTGGTCGATGTAATGCCTGTTACAGTTCATACATGTAATTTATTTTGTAAATGGTATTAATCTTACCTCCTTTTTCTGTTGGATCTTTTAGTTTGCATAGTACCGAATTAAGCGATTTGACTGGCTTGTGTGCTATATCTATATCAACCGCTTTCAGTATTCTAGCTGTTATTTCAGAGATATTTTTCATGTATGGTAGCATGAATTTTCTTGTGGTCTTCGATGATGGTTCCTTGTTGGTGTTATGATTCGATTTCAAACACGTTTTGATGAAAGTTTGTGGATCACCATTCTTTTTGAAGGTTGTTTGTAGGTAGTTTTCTTCCATTCTTTGCAACTCTGGAGTGCTACAGTGTGTTTGAACACTTTTAAACAGTGTCTGCACACAGTTTCTTTTGTGAGTGAGTAATTGGATTATTGCCAGTGAAGTTGAGTATTTGATCTGTGTGCTTTGATTTTCTATATACTTGTGTTTCTAAATTTCCTGTGTTGGTTCTCCTGATTAAGACATCTAAAATTGGGATTTTGTTATCTAATTCTTCTTGTCTTGTGAATTTGATATCCTCAAATATGTTGTTTATTAATTTATGGGTATATTCTAAAACACTTCTCTTAATTATTACAAATATATCATCAACGTAACGTACCTAGATTTTTGGATTAATTATGAGGAGAGCTATTAATTCTATTCCTTGCATAACGGCTTCAACTATTAATCCTGATATGGGCGATCACATTGGTGTTTCTTTTATCTTGTTATATATTTGAGTATTGCATTGGAAGTATGTTGTAAGGCATAATTTTATAAATTGTTTGTGATTTTCAAATAATATTTTTTGCTTACTCTTGATTACTTTTCTAAAACATGAATGCATATTCTATATGAACACAACATGTACTGCCGAATTTCGCTAAACCTGCTCTACACATGTGAACAGTTTGTTTCGTAAATTTGTTGGGATTTAGTTGCGTCAAATAGAAGAATATCCATCATATTCTTCATAAAGAATCAGCCTCTCATTGTAATTGTTATTAGCGAATACGTAGCAAAACATAAAGGACGTACACATTCAAGGCATATTACTATTATAGTATCGATTCCTCAGGTTCCGAGTGGACTAAAACGGCACACCTACGTCTTATCCTGTTATAACCGGTCCTTTTTATCTGGCTGCTCTTCATTCGATCTCTTACGCGTCAAAATCGAATGGCAGATTCATCGTTTCACATTCAGAACCTGGTGCGTGAAAACATTCAAAGATCTCTTCAACGTGTGTCTGATGTATCTCTATTTCTTTCCTTATATATTTACTTAGCTGTAAGTTCTTGGTTAGTTCGTTGTCAGAGTTACTTGTTACCAATCTTTTATGGTCATATTGTAATGACAGAAGACGAGAGTCAGGCAGCAGATCGTATATTGAGTAAATCATAATTACATACTTATAGATTTTTATGTACATTATTGTCAGAAGAGAAGCAACGCCTTCTGGTTGGTTGTTTTCTTGCCCAACGTTATCCTGTACTGCTTGTGAACGTCTCTCAGAAAGTGAAGCTACATGTCTGCGAATTGTATTTGCACGCGTTAAGTCTGCTTTGATTGGTTGGTGATTTCCTTAAGATTAACCTTTATCACTGTGTTTTTTCTCATGACCCTGGCTCGGGAAGTAAACAATGACGTAAATTGTTGTCTGTAATTTCGATTTGCAGACAGCTGTAACCACAATATGATCTCGAGTATCGAGCGATAGTGGGCTCTTCATTTGCATTACATGTACAATATAAAAACAATAATATTTCTAAAGACCTTAAAATGTGCATTTGTGTGAAATTACAAATTTCAGTGTTCAACATTTCATTGTGAAAGTGATGCTTATAGACTGACGGAAATTCTGGGATATATGCTACTCAAAACCGGGTATCAGTAGTATATTATGTGGCGCCTTCGAAGAGATAATGATAACTTATATAACAATGGCGAAGGTTTTCTTTCTCGCATATTACTTCTGTTCTCCTTAGTCTTATTCCTTTTATTATTATTATGGAGTGTAATTATGGTTTATACACATTTGAGGGAAAAGAATTAAGTTGACTGGAAAGGCTGTGAAACAAGGATTTCAGATGAACATCGAGAAGACCGATGCGATGGAGAAACCCAATCAGCAACAACAGCAAGTACCAATCACCATCGATGGGAGAAATTTGAAGCAAATCGCTTATTTCTCTTGCCTACGCAGCATCATTTCAACTACAGGCAACAGGGAAGTGGCACAGTCAAGGAATAACTACTCAAACAAAATGCAAAAGGAAACGGAGATATATTTACGCGTGTGGCGGAGTAGCATAACTCCACAAGCTGCCATCAAGTTCAGCCGGAAAGAGAAGCAAGGGGGTTGGTCGTTCGAAAGGGATACCTAGGGGATCTTGTGAAGAGGAAATGAAAGCTTACGAGAAATCTTTGAGTCAGTTGGAAATGATCACAGAGAATCATTGACGTTGTGTTACACCAAGGTGCTGCTTACTACTGGAAATGCAAACATTCATATAATTTCTTGACAGGATTTTCAAAATACCTAAAATACTGACCCTGAATCTTAAATAAACTAATCCCTGCTTCAAATTCCTACGAAATAATTCAAAACTAAGTCGTCTGAGATTCATACTACGCAAGTGTTACATATATTCAAATGATGGTTTGTAGGAATTTGATTGGTTACAGGATTTCATCATGAGCTGACATTAGTTAGAGAGCCATTGGAAAACCTAGGAGTACTGGACAGCTGTTTCGTCCTAGTTTGGAACTCTTCATCAGTACGCATCCACCAGAGGAGGTTCGAACTCATGACCTTCTGGTTACAAGGCAGGCTAGCTCGTACACCATTGACCCACTGGGATCCGAATGAATGGCCAATCCATGAATTCCAACTTCTGCCACGTCACGACATAGCGCACTAGTGAGCATCTCATTGATATTCAATGAGATGCTCACTGGCGACTGGCTGTATTCAGGTAGGTAGTTTCTTGGGGGTTCTAACGAGAAGTCGTGACCACTAGGGTGCAGCAGGTAGGGTGTGAAGACAAATACTCACCGAACACACTGACTGGGGTCGCGCTATGTCGTGAATTGGCAGAAGTTAGAATTCATGAACTAGTCATTGCATCGGGTCTCAGTGGCTTTAATGGTATATGAGCTGGCTCGCCTTGTTTCCAGAAGGTTCTGGTTTCAGCCTCCGGGTGCGTACTGCTGAAGAATCCCAAACTGGACGGAGGAAACAGCTGTCCAGGACTCCTAGGTTTTCCAATGGTTCTCTAATTTATGTTAGCTCGTGATGACATCCTGTTACATATATATTCATCATAAATATGTGCACCCGAAGTTAGATAATATATCTTTAGTTCAGTTTTTCTCTAGAATGAAATACTTGCACAATAAAAATGACAAATAACTAAATAGGCTGATTAATATGAATGCCTAAAGACCGATTAGGTGAAACAAAAGTGTTTGCTAGTCAGAATGAATAATCGCAAAAACATCGAAAAGCAGTTCCAATTGTTTGAGGCCAGCCACACAAGCGCAGTGTATTTAGTCAAACGCAACACAAGGAGCAGGAACACCTCAAACCAATCTATTCGTGGCTAGCTATTTGGGTAAACTCGTGATGCATTGTGAACAATGTATAATTTTCACATGACAACTATATATATATATATATATATATATATATATATATATGCGATTTATATCAGGTTGTGAATTAATATATTTGTGGTTTTACCTAATTTATTCATGTTCTCTTATCTGCTTTTCACCATTTTCTAGTCAAGAAGACGTCATACAGTGAAGGAGTTAATTCATGTCGAAAAGGAATATGTCAGTGCATTGACTACATTAGTTAATGTAAGTTGTATCAATTCTAGATTAAATGGTTTATTACATGTAAATTTATGAAAATTCATGTAGGCAGTAGTTAATTAGGCAATGAATCATAGAAATTCGGGAATGACAGATGATAATTTAAATCCTGCCTGCTGAAGAATATCATCTCAACGATTTTGCACAGTAGTTCATCCTCCTTGTGCACTTTCACGAGACTACATAAACGGGGAATTACAGAACCTAAGGGTTGACATTTGAAATTAAAGAGGAGATAACACGAACCCTGAGGAGAATCAAGAATGAATTGGTCATTAGCTCCGAGTTGCTTAGGCACCTATGACCCTCAGGTTCTGTAATTCTCCATATATGTGATCCCTGAAAAATGAAGAAATAAGACACACCAATGAATTCAATCTTGGACGTGAACATTCAACGAATGCTATTGCTAAATGACTTCCAAAGATGTCAACACACCCGGGAAAAGAATGATATTTTTTAGAGTTGGTTCGTAAAGAATAAATTTGTTTTTACGAGTGTGACCACGGATTGATATCAGTTAGAGAACCCTTGAAAACAAGGGAGAACTGCCACACAGCTAAATCACGAATTGGTAGAAGTAAGAATTCATCGGCTGGTCTCTGAATCGGGTCCCACTGGCTGAATGGTATACGAGCCAGCTTGTCTTGTAACCGGAAGGTCCTGGGTTCAAACACTGTTGGTGGGTGCGTACTGCTGATGATTCCCAGAAAAAACTAGGATAAAACAGCTGTCTAGCAGTACTCTCTGGTTTTCACTGGTACTCTAACTGACATCAATCCGTTCTGAAACTCCTAAAAAAGGGGAATCATGTCTCTCTCCTCAATAATGTCCAATTCATTGAAGAATGCTAGCTGATGAAGGACTATTGTGGTGGATGTTATTGAATCCACAGTCAACTAGATATCTGTAATTCTTGGAAATTTAAAAATAATCAATATCATCGAAGAAATGTTCGAGTTGCTTCTGAATGCAATTCAAAAGCTTGTAAAAATGATTTTCTTCCAGTGTATGCAGTTCATAGAATTCGCGAAGACATTCAGTGACTGAGCGTATCCCCAATTTGACAAATTACGCGATTTGTCATTCTCAGGCCACTAGTTGGAATCTTGCTGTTTACAAGAGTTGCATATCGCTTTCAATATAAATCCGAGTTCAGTGAATTCATCAAATTTCAGTACAACTCCACACCTGAACACCCTAAACACTGTGATATATTCGATGGCGGGGGGGGGGTAGGGGAGATTATGACCGATAAAACGCTTTGTGACCAAACTTTGTGATACTTTAATCGTTTTTTCAACCACTTGGATAAGTGCTCTATGAAGCAAGTAGAAAAGCTCCTTTACATACTCGCTACGTATTCGACTCCACTGACACACTCAAACTGATATACTCAGTTAGATGTGTGAAGGATTGGGAACCGGTCTTCCCCAGATTGCTGAGACACCCGTTTAATAGCAGTGATAAGGAATAAAGGCTTTGCAGCACAATGAGTTCATCGAACAGCTTCAAGTACTTCTTGCATGTCATCTTCTTTAAATCGTACACTGACGAACTTTGTCTTCTTTCTACAACACAATAAGAAGACGTAGTTTATCTGAGGCGTGTAATGTATTGGCGCAACACATTTCGGACAACCGTCTGATTACACACGTACTTGTCATACACAGTTTTTATATAAGGAAAGAAGGCATAAATAATTACAATACAGGTTGTCAGATTGTGTACAGGTCAAGGTCACAAATAATGGGTAGGGAGACGGAAAAGGTGTGGGTGAGATAGAAAAACAGAGAAAAAACGAAGCAAAGAAAGGGTTGAAACCATTATGAAGTAAATTAATTAATTAATTAATTAAAATGAAAATATAATTATGAAGTAAACCCCTTCTTTGCTTTCTTCTTTCTCTTTCTCACCCACACCTTTTGCGTCTCCCTACCCATTATTTGTGACCTTGACCTGTACACAATCTGACAACCTGTATTGTAATTATTCATGCCTTCTTTCCTTATATAAAAACTGTGTATGACAAGTACTGATGTGTGTGATCAGACGGTTGTCCGAAATGTGTTGCGCAAATACATTACACGTCTCGGATAAACTACGTCTTCTTATTGTGTTGTCAAAATTCATAAAGGGAACTGACTGCTTTGAACTTTTCAGCGGTCTTCTTTGAAATGGTTTGAATAATTTTAGTGGCTCTTATATCCTTAGAATATTTATTCACAAACACCTCAGGATATCCATTTTTAGATAAAATATACTTCAGGGGTTAATTTCATACTCTATCGCTTATCTGAGCTTGACTTGTGGAACATTCACACCAATCGCTTTGCATGATTGTAGTTACTTTATTTATCAGTTATATATTGGCTAATGAATTTCTGAACATATATATATATATATATGTATATATGATTGTATGAAGACTGGAAAGTTCTACCCAAATTCGACGAATTCATAAAATCCCATATTATTAACGCCTGTTACTTAGTTTAATTAGGCAGGGAAAAATGATTGTTTATCAAGAGTTGGGGTGCAGGGATCTAATTAGTTACAGATTTGATCGCGGCCTGATGTCATTTCGTCGTACTATGAGACTCTTCAGCACTATGCACCCACTGAGTTTCTAACTTAGGATCTTCTTATACAAGGCTAGGGCGTAGAGCATTCGACCATTGCCACCAGATACAATGATCCATGAACGCCGGCTTCTGTTGATTTGCGAGATATGGCACAACCGCTAGCCAATCTCATTAACGTGTAAGTGTTCTCTTACTGACTTGCTGGACGCCTCTGGTCACGACTTCTCACTAGGACTCCAGATATCCTTCATTGTAAAGCCATTCAGGTGTAGGTTTGCAGGGATTTAATTGGTTACACTGTTGATTACTAGCTAATATCAGTCAGAGAATCTTTCAAAAACCAGGTCATAGAAGGTAACCGTTACTCCTCAAAGAAACTGACTGCCGGTTGTTCTATAGATATCATAAATTGGCATAAGTTTGAATCGCTAGGCCATTAGATTGTGCCCCAGTGCTTGAATAACTAAGAGATCGCCTTTAAACCGGAGAGTCCTTGATTTTAATCACCACAGTGGGTGCGTATTGATGAAGAGATTCAAACAAGGATGAAAACAGATGTGAAATACCTTCTAGTTTTCCAATAGCTCTCTAACCTGTAACCAGATAAGTGGTTCCAACTCACTTCCAATCGTTAGCCAGACTATATGATTTTCTATGGTTTCATTATTCACTTACCATGTTGTATTGTAAACTAAGGCAGAAAGGAGAATAGAATTTCTCCATGACACTTTGTTCTCAGATTAGGCATATACTATATGTGTGTATGCAAATGTGTTGAAATGTAAACTTTATTCAACTCGAGTACTACGGCGTGCCCCAAATATTCATCAATCTTATTCAACAGCTGTACGACAATGGCACATGTCAAGTGATCTACAACGGAAAACTCAGCAAGGCGTTTGGAGTGGGCACAGGAGTCAGACAAGGGTGCTTATTATCACCAGTGATTTCCTAATTGTGGTGGACTGACTGGATTATGCGTCAGACAGTGAGTGGGAAACGAGAAGACAGAGATATACTGGACCGACGCGAAGAACCTAGAAGACTTGGATTTCGCGCGTGGATGATTTATGTTTGATGTTACACAAAATCGAAGGCTTACAAGCGACAACCGACAAACTGGTCGAAGAAGCAGCTAGCGAAGACAGGACTCCAGGTGAAGATAGACAAGACGGAGGTTACGAAAATAAACAACCAACAACAACAGTAACATCCAGCGCCGATCACCATCAACGAGAGGGATTTGAAAGAGGTTACTTCATTCACTCACTCACTTATCTTGAGAGCATTGTCTCAACCACAGACAGTAGGAACGGACGAGGATGTCAAATCGAGCGAGAATCGGGAAGGCGAGAAACACACACATTCATCAACCTGAAATCAATCTGGAAATCTTCGTCACTCAGCATCAACAACAAAATCCACTCGGATTTTCAATACAAACGTAAAAGCAGTTCTTCTATGCGGATCAGAAACTTGGTATGCGGGTCACAAAGAATATTTCCAACAGGCTTTTGCAGACCTTTATCAACAACTGTATTCGCTCTGTATTGAAGATCAGATGGCCGAGCCGGAAAGAATCACCAACAAGAAACTATGGGAAGAAACAAACAAAACGAGAACCAATCGTCAACCAACAAATATGCAGGAGAAAGTGGAGATTGATCGGACACTCACTGAGGAGGTCGCTGGGTGACATGGTGCGCGCGTCAGGCCATTTCTCGAGTAGAACCGAAAGGGAAGCGGTGAGTAGGACGTCATGTGAGGGTGACATGGAGGAGATCGTGTGAAGAGTTGAGAAGTTGAAACAGTATAGACTAACATGGATGCAGGTGAAATGTACAGCGGAAGACAGAATCAAGTGGAGACGTGCAGTTGAAGCCTTATGTTACACTAGAAAACCCTAGGGGAAAATAATAATAATTGTATTATTAATAATGAAGGAATCAAATACTAGTTTAATTCACTTATAGTCTACCTCGTCACAGTATGTTGCCATTATTGATTTTGAATGGTTAAGTAGATCATTAAGTATAGGGTGAATGTATTTGCACATATTCACTCTTCGCTTCATCCCTTCTACCCCACCCCCACGACACATACAGACAGAGGAAAATGTAAAACCAAAGATAAATAAGGACGCCTTACTTCTACTTCTACTACTACCACAACAACTGCCCGCCTTCCCCGTGGCCTTAATCATTAGAGTTATGCACTAAGTATCTGTTTTTGTTAGAGGAACATCTTAGCATAAAAAGAAAAAAAGACAAACTATGGAATTTAATTAATCCCAATAATTTATCTATCTCTCTCTATCTCATTCGAATGTACATCATTTAACCATCGTAGAATCACATGACACCACCACCATCATCTACTGCTAAGGCTTAGGTTCGATCACATTTGTTGGCCTGTTTTTTAACCATATCTTCATGGAAAACATAAAACGGTAATGTAATTGAAAGTGGTATGTACGTTAGTTTATATGTAGGTATGTGTGCTTGTGATTTTGACATTCACAGTAGTGTGCAATAATCATGATAATTGCTTAAAGATGAGGCAAAAACACAGTTATGTTGTTAGGTTTATCGCTAGTTACTGACTTAACAAATATACCTACTTACTTACTTACTGACTAACCACTTACTAACTTCCGCAGCACTTACTACTTATCTGATATGTTTATCTATAGAATTCAGTAGTAATGATCTTTATTCAATGGTTTGTTCACTCTACTAGTGGAAAACATGTTTGTTTGTACAGAGTTTGGATTGTATATATAGCAGCATAGGCAAACAGTGTAGGTCCCCACCATCCCTACACACACATACATCCTGCTCCATATAGAAGAACATGGAAGTTATTCACAAACGGAATCACGCAAACACAAACGCACACACTCACACACAGTTTCGGCTAGTTTTCATGCCAAAAAATATTATGCATATATGCACTTTTGCACTTTGAAGTACTTGAGAGCATTATATACTACTATTATAATTAAAATACTATTGTTATTATTACTAATATAATCATTATGAATGGAAAACATACTTGCTGTTACAAAATCAATACATCCTTTTTAGGCACCTATACTTTTGTAGAAAATCTATTTACAATCTAGAAAACAGAAGTTACAAAAAATGATATATATGTATATGTTTATATATATATATATATACATTCGAGAGTGAAAATCTGTGCCTGTAGTTGTTTTGTTTCCGAAAATACAAAAGTGGATTCGTATTTAGCAAGAAAAAAAATGCTAAACAGAAGTGAATTTCTAAAAGAAATACTTTCTCGAGAAAGTTTATACTGCCTTCGACAGATTCTGGAACATAGGCATGCTTACTTTTGGCGTTCAACAATCGGCATATGATTCTATTGACCATGAGGTACTCTGGCTATGCTTGGCTTTAAAAGAAATGCTAAGAAAATACATTGCACTGATATGAAGGCACTCACTCTATTCGAACTGATGCAGACAGTCAGGCGAGAGACTACGTCGAGTTGTCATCTGAAGTGGTGACCAGATTGTATTAAAAACTTGTTTTTAAAAACTTTGTCCAATCATGATTCGTAAAACAAGTATTAACAAGTATAATAAACAAAATTGTATGAGCTATGATCAAAATTTGACTTCCGACTTACAAATATTGGTCTACCTTTGTTAAACACTTTGAACACAGTGTGTATGTGTGTGTGTGTGCGTGCGGGTAAACAGTTGTAAAACATTTCTTAACGTCTCCATAAGAAGATATAGACAGTCGCGAATTTTCACCAAGTATTATTAATTTAGTGATACATATCCATTTTTATTTATTAATCAGGATTCGCTATGCATCAGCTAACATCACACATTCATGTTTGTTCAAACTGTTAGTATCTAGAATTTTATGATTAGACGTATTTTCAAAATTATGGTGTTTAGGATTAGAGTTTAGTTGAAGCAACATGTCAAAATTATTGCTTTGTCTTCTTTCTGAAGATTGAGTCATGGAATTAGGATATGCATTCTGTTGCAGACAACGGAGAGTGAAAACACGATGATTGTGCCGACTGAATAATTTCTTTGTTAATTTAATTCCAAGTGAGATTTTCCTTTTATATATAAACCTCTGTTATGTTAATTTCGATTAAATTCCCTGAAGAAGTTCGGACCAGATTGCCGAACGAAACATTGGAAATGCTCATTTCAATCTCGTTGAGATTTTACAAATATAATTTTCACAAATATATACGTAAATTGCTGTCTAGCAAATTTGGCTAGCAGACAACCCTCACCATAAGTTAACCTACTTGAGTCACACAGTAATCACAATCCATTGAGGATGTGAACACAATAACATTAAGATTGCATACGTTAACTTCCACTCCATGAAGCAGATGTGAGCACAAGTTCTAACAATCCACAAAAGAAAAACCTGAAACGTTTTATCCGGCCTCTGAATTGTTCTACAATAAACTCTATGTGGTATTTTTTCATTTTTTTAATCATATGTTTGCGACATATTTTCAACCCCTTTTTCCTCTTGTTTTTTCAATCGATTATCCCTAAACGAGTAAGTTGACAACCCTCTAGATCACGAAAGGACTACTCACTATTTCTCAAGCATTTGACACTACTCATAGGCTTTAATTTATTTTGTCACTAATCTCTGACATTTGTTGTTGATCTGCAATGTTTACATAAACCTCTTAAATAACAACTGTGGAGTGAATATACGGACGGAAAGAGATCTCTTTGGTAATTGATGTATTCCTCAAGAGCAACACTATAATATACTAAATTTTTATCTAGTGTTCGCTTGCAGGCATTTAATTCATTGATATCAGTTAGGGAAGCGATGAGAATCGATAACTGTTGGATAGTAGTTTGACTTAGTCTTCAAAATCCTTGGCAATACCTCCCCTTACCCTTCCTTAACTTTAGAGTTCTAGATTCAATAACCGATGAAACATGAGTGCCTACTATTGAAGAGTCTCAAACGAGGACAAAACAGTTTTTCATTACTCCCTAGTTTTTGCCGGTTTATTTTTTATTTACCAGTAAATCTAACAGTGTTGAATTAATACTATTATCATTATTATTGTTTTTTCTCCTTATCATACAGGTTTATATGATCCCATTAAAACAAGAGAAGATATTAGATGATCAACAAGTGGATACAATATTTTTTAAAGTTCAAGAATTACTCATGTATCATATGAGTTTTTTGAATACCCTTCAAATGTGGGAGTTGACAAATACAGTTGGTGATAAATTACTTGATATGGTAATATATATATATATATACCCATTTTGATTTATCTATCCATGTGTCCATGTAGCATTTGCTATTTATCCTTTAAGTTGAAAACAATGACATTAAAACAAAAAAAAGATTAAATCATTTTAAAATCAGAATAATTTAAGATTTAATGAACATCCGCTTGATTTACAACATAATCCGGTTCTTCCAAAAATAAAACCATTTCTTGAAATTGCTTACAAATTGAAGTATAGAAAGAAGGCTGAAAAAAGTGAACATTGAAATGACTAAGCTATATTGTGGAGAGGTATCAGTTAGCAAACCGTTGAAAAACAAAGGATGACAAGATAGTTGTTTCGCCCTAGTTTGGGAAACTTCAATAATGCATACCCTAGAAATTGAACTCAAGACCTGTGACTGGAATTCAGTAACCTATTCACAATATGGAGCTACTGTTATCAAATTACTTTGGTTGGCATTCACTTCACAATTGATATAATGAACCTGCGAACCAACGACGATTGGCTGGAGGGATGATCACCAGTTGACAGTATTTAGAGAACCATTGGAAAACCAAGGAGTATTAGACAGCTGTTTTGTCCTAGTTTGGGACATTTCAGTAGTATGCACCCTGGGATCTGAACTTAAGACCCTCCAGTTATAAAGCAGCCTCGTAAACCATTCAGGAACTGGGACGGTTTAATGGCTCATTCATTCAAACTCCTGTCATTTCACAATATATAAAGTGCTGCTGCCGGCCAAAGTCATCGGCGAGTAACTGTGGTTTTACCTTACCTGGTGGAGCCTGATGGTGACGACCTTTCACTAGAACTCCAAGCAACTTCCCATATAGAAGCCAATGCTAGTGGTCATCAGAATAATGAACTGACTTCATTTCTAACGAAAATAAGTTGTGTTATTCAGTGGGTAGTGATTAGCAGAGGAATCTGGGATACGTATTTCATTCTGTTTGGGACTCATTAGCCATACATACCTTCAGTACCCAATGAGTGATGTCATTCCCGCTGGGATTCGAACCCAGCAACCATAGTTTCGAATGTCAAAGCGTTTGTATGATGTGACTACACAAAAGTAGTTGCATTACTTTGGTTTTCCTCTACCTTATTACCCTTTGTCTTCATAGAATTAATTCCCTTGAAAAATTTGAATAACATAACAAGGTCAACTTTCATAAGATAAGATGAGTTCATCTTATTTGATCTATTTTTCATCAGCTACATACGACCTAAATAATAAATTACATAAGCAGTGAATGTAAAATAATAATTAACGCATACTCTGCACGAATAACCAGTTCATTTTATAACAGTAGAATAACATGCCAGATATAGAGATGGGGTATAGATTCTATGGAAAACTAACTGAATTCAACGAGGATCTTTTAAGGTTGTGAACAAACAGACTACTTCACACTTCCTTCAAATTACTGAATTTATGACCATCCAAGGACTGTAACTTAAATTCTGTGTGAGCTCTGATTCTCTTACCTTAACTTTTAGAAATTTCATTTCCCTGTTATGACGCAGTTCAATAATTATATTTATCTCAGTTTCCCAAAATACGTCTATTATCCCTAACCTTTATTGATAAAAGTATATAAAACTTGAGCACTGTGGTAGCTAGTATAACTCCATTATAGATAAGATTTTATTTTGATAAATCACAGTGTTTGGTATACAGTAATATTAACTGATGACCACCTTTCGAGCACAAACTATTGCCACTCTGTTATGTACTGCTGCTGAGTGGTTAATAGTAAGTTTTCCCCGTCACCAATTATGTTATGTACTCGTCGAGTAGGTAATAGTCCTGACGCGAAAAGAGGGGAATCAGAAGACCCCCAGATTTACGATGATACTTGTATTGTCCAGAGAAGGAAAATAAATGTCACACAAGAATGTAAGTGAAATGGTACGTAGTGTACGAAACGTGGAAACAAGTATACAAAGCAAGAGTTTATATGAAAATGGCTAATACACATAAACCAATAAATAGACAGTTTTAACATGATTGGTTGTAACGTCATGTGACAACAAGGTCATACATGTTTATTTAGTTAGTGGACAGACAAAAGCATAAGGTCAGTTAAAAAGGGAATATCGATCTATATACACATAACAAAATATAATAGACTGTCAAAAACAAAACACACATCATGTGGATACATATCACACTCATAATCATATCAAGTCATTCACACAACTTTTCCCTTCATTTATATACATGATTGGAATTGATTAGACATTTGAATAAAAATCAATATAGGATGATGTACACTAAGAAATAGCAATACAAGTGTTATTCATCAAATACAATCAGATGGGAAATAAGACGAGTGTTTTTTTATAGTCATAATAAGTAATTTGCTTTACCATGTATGGAGGGGACATCTGAAGCCCTACGTAGAATTCTCAACAAAGCAGGAATTAGGGCGCCAATGAAACCTACAAACTCACTCAGAGACAAGCTCTGTGGGTTAAAGGACCCTGTATACCAAATTAGACAAAATAATAATATAATTTACAAAATTCCATGCAATGACTACGAGTGAGTTCAACTACATGGGTAAAACTAGTAGGTCGTGGGCAGTCAGATTGTCGGAACATAAGAATTCAGCTAAGGTAAGAATGGTTTACCCCGAGAAGATAAGTAATTTTGCAAAAAGCTCAGCACTACATTGCTCTACATGCATTAACACACAACCACACAATAATGTAGTTGGAGAGGGTTAAGATTTTAAGAAGTAATCTGTGTAGGTGGAGAGAGAGATTGATTACTGAATCCTGACTGGTTCAGTGAGTCTATCTACAACCAACACACCACATGCAACAGAAAATGACTCAATGCAAATACCAGAATATGCATGGAAGATATTATTGCCACCAGCCAGTCAAATTAAAGGAGGATAATAAATAATCTTAAAGTTCTATTTCAATTCAAGCATATCACAACATTCTAACAAGTTACTTATTATGACTATGAAAACACTCGTCTTATTTTCCATCTGATTGTATTTGACTGATAACAGTTATAGTATTAAATCTGTATGTACATTATCGTATATTGATTTTTATTCAAATGTCTAATCAGTTTTATATAATTTGTGCTCGGAAGGTGGTCATCAGTTAATATTACTGTATAACACCACTGTGCGATTCATCAAAATAAAATCTTATCCATAATGGAGTTATCCTTCACCTTTCTCATTTCAGTTGAATAACTTGACGCGTGAATACATCGCCACCTTCAATTACACCTTAGTTGCCTTTAAATTCCAGAACATTCTTCTCTATGCAATATATAAATCCATGTTATCTTTTAAAAGTTCTTCTAAAGCCTATCTGTTGAAGTATATTTGGCGAAAACAGAGTTTTCTTCATTTAGCAACATAGTCATTTTTATTTTCACTCAGTACATTTGGGATTATTAATTGCCTGCAAAACATGCATTCTTACATACCCTACCAAAATTGTCATGTGATTCCAATGCCTATGCAATATGATGCAAAGTGATTGTAACATATTTTCACATTAACATAACATAAGAAAAGCAGGACAACAACAAAAAAACTACTTCAAATTCACAAAACATTATTTTCACATTAGAGAATAGCTGCCAAAATGAAATATGCAAATTTACATTCGATGTAAAAAGAAAAAACATTGTTTCTCCCCCCTGTTCTTATCATACTTTAGCACCTGTTCATGTACACATGTAGTATTAAGAATTTTTGAATTGTGTTCAGCGCCATAATCGTAGAAAATTAAAATTTATCAGCTGCAAAAATATTGCATGAATATGCTTGCCATTCTGTTATCTTTGATGATAAACAATGGATCCTCAAGACGTGGACTGCATAGATTTGATTTGCTTTCGATTACATCGAGAGCTGACGTCCCCTTGAAGGTTATTGTAAAGCCTACTAGTGATCAACTACAGGATAAAGTTGACTGACTGACTGGTCATAAGTCATGACCAGTGAGGTTCACCAAGTTGTATGTGTGTATAAGTGTGTAGAAAAATACTTGATGATCACTGGTAGTGGTAGCGTGGTATCTTAAACTGGTGGAGGCTAGAACTCCTGACTATTCGGACTTCGTTCCAGGTCGCCTTGTAACCTGAAATTCCTGGTTTCAACTCATTATGGAGGTGCTGAACTAGCATGAAACATCTTCCCAGAAGTCATTAGTTTCCTGTGGTCCTCTAACTCAAGACATTTCGTAATCAATCTTGAAATGCTTCCCTTCCTACTGAGATATTGGTAATTGAGATTGATGACGTGAACCTCTTAACTTCATTGAAAAGGAGAACTTCATTCGAAAATTTAATTTACAGTGAGTTTGTAGGTTTGAATGCTACCTTGATTCCTGCTTTGTTGAGAATCCTACGTAGGGCCTCAGATATCCCGTCCTTCGTTATATGGTAAAGCTACTGTAGATGCCTTATATTCTCTCTTGTTTTTGTTATCACTATTGGTTTCCCCGTTATTTCTTCTTCTTATTCTGACCTTTTCTGATCTTCCTAATGCAGTTTATAGGTTGGTTATTTGATACCAACGCTTCTTCTATCCGTTTCATTTCATCATTTAGGTCGTTTCTTGTACTACTAAGTGCTACTGCTCTGTTTGTTAAACACTTACCTAAGCCAGCCTTTACAGATAGACAGCGGATGAGGTGAATTAACGTCAAAATACCTATTAGAATGTGTTGACATTTTATAAACGCTAGTGCATAGTTTACCGTCTTCTATTCGTTTAATTTTACAATCTAACATCACAGCTAGTTCTCCTTGTTCATTTTATGATTCAAATGTTAATTTTATTCCCTTCACTAATGAGTTTATATATGTCAAGTATCTAGAGATATGCTCTGTTTTCAACACTGTGAAAGCGTCATCCACATATCTCCATCATATCTTTGGAGAGGGATTAAATATATTTAGAGCAATATTTTCCCAGCTGTCCATGAAGATATTGGTGATCCTATCACTACACCATCTGTTTGTTTATATATTTTATCCTGGAATTTAAAGGTAGTATATATGAGGCACAAATGAATTCCTAAAATAATTTCCTCATTAGGCAGCTTTGTCCTATGACTAAGTTAGGGATCAGAAGTTAGTTCCATCCATTTTAACTGCTTCTAAAGCCATATTGATCGGTATATTAGTGTACAGACTGATTATATCAAAACTAACCATTGTTTCATCATTCTCTAGTTGAATGTCAGTTAGATTATATTTCCTTTCATATGAGTTAGTTAGCCTGGAGTTTGAATGATTTCTAAGTGTTTTGATAATTCAGAAGTTGGGCGTATTCCTGAAATCTGCTCTTGTTCTCATGGGGTAACCTGATTTATGCATTTTAATAGTACCATACATTCTACAAGCGTTATTGGTTTTAGGCATTAAATTAAACCATTCAGACTCATCCAGTGACGGCTTCATACTACGTATTAAATCCGCTCTAAAAGTGATCTCAAACCATTTGAAAGTCTGCCGGATTTCCATCTCTATCCACTGCCTGCTTCATTTTTATGGGTACAAGTGTCCAATGACTACTAATCTAATCTTTTTTTACTCAAATATCTAACTTTATTGATGCAAACAACAGAGTAACGACAACACCAACAAGTTATTATCTCAGCATTATCCAACCTATGGATTCTGAATAGAACACAGGGTACATTACCATTTCACTCAATTTCTCTAGAGTTCTCTAAGCTGACTCCACAAATGCTTATCAGCTTCCAGTCCCTCTTCACATAATCGCCTCCATGTTACTGTCACAACCACCCCCAATTCGCTTTCACTTGAATTAATTTATCGAAACAGTCAAATGAAAGACTTCATTCTATAATTCGTCCCAATAATATAGGAAACCTGAATATCACTCAACTTCAACACATGTTGTCAAATGAATGAGCTGGTTGGATAGAAATGATGTAGGTGTCAAACAGCTATTTCGTTTGTCACAGGTCAAGACGTGTAAGTACCACTTCTATCTACACATATCCAACAGTAGCATGTATCATCTTGTTATTTTAGCCACCAAATTTTGTGATGACCTAATTTCTGCCAGCCAAGTCTGTGATATATATATTCAGGTAGCTTTTAACATGTTATAGTGTAACAACAGAAGACAAGGGCCAGGAAACAGATCATCTTTATGCTAACTGTATCCGCCTACGCAAAGTCTGCTGTGGTTAGTTGTTGAATCAGTCTTTGTTCATATTTTTCTCACTACCAATATTGAGGAAGTAAACATTGACGTAAATCACTGTCTACCAATTTGACTAGCAGCCAGAGCTCACCACACTCGAGCCTCCGTCAAAGACTTGCGTCTGAAGTTGGTTCGATCTTAATTCTAGGGGCTTTGTTCGTCTGTCTTGCTGTCTGGAATCTTGGCGCTCGCTGATGTTCACCTGCTTCTCTTTGTTTACCATTGCGATTGTGTCTGCTTAACCCCACCTCAAAGTGACCATATGTGGTCCTTCCCACTTTGGAAACTGTTTGTCTAACACTGTCGCACATTCGTCAGTATTTCGCCTCACACTTTCATACGCTGCTTTCACCCGACCTCCTAGCAGCGTCCCAAGTACCATCCTCATCGCTGACAGATCTTGAACGCCACTCAACTGCACAGAAGCCTCGAAGTCCAGCCCGAAGATCCATATGTCTCCATCAAAAACTGCAGGGCATAGGCTATTCATTTGTCGGTAGGCAGCGACACCAAATATAACAACAGAAGACAAGGGCCAGGAAACAGATCATCTAAATGCCAACTGTATCCGCCTATGCAAAGTCTGCTGTGGTTAGTTGTTGAATCACTCTTTGCTCTTATTTTATCTCACGACTAATATTGAGGACGTAGCTACTGACGTAAGTTACTGTCTACCAATTTGGCTAGTAACCAGTTCTCATCACAGTAGTATGTCGTGTTGGTATTATTCCAGTTACCGGTTTTCAGTTATTAACTAATTTTGTTTCCTTCATTTGAACGTCATTTCTTGATTATGACACTAAAAAGGGCTTTTTATTTCTCTTTTTAAACTTTCTTTTCAGTTCTCCCGAGAAGCTGTGACTATGTGCTACTGTTCATTTGTAGATAATTTCGCCAATTCTGAAAAGACTTTAGAAGCTTGTTGGAATACAAAATCATCATTTCAAAAGTTTTGTGAGGTAAGACAACACAATACTTATACGAGTGATTGTCTTTAATGTAAGAATTAATTTTTTTTAACGAGTTGATCATGAGCTCTTGAATCAGGTCGCAGTGGCTAAATGGTACACCAGCCAGCTTGCCTTGTAACCGGAAGGTCCTGGGTACTAACCCTGGTGGCGGATGCGTACTGCCGATGTTTCCCAAACTAGGATGAAACACCTGTATGGCAGTACTCCCTGGTTTTCAATGGTTCTCTAACTGATATCAATCCGTGTTCAACTCGTATATATAGTTTTTGAATGACTATGCCTTCTTTTAAATAAAGATAAATTACATATAAATATGTGGCGGTGCATACTACTCACTGGGTAAATTAAGTAGTTGGTTACCACTCACATAAGACAGAAGTTCTTTTCAGCAAGGAGTAAGTAGCACAATGAATTTATGCTTGCTTTCTAAATTCGCATTTATAATATCAAGTCCTTCAAAGATTATGATCTGAATAACTTAAATTTTTAGTGGAAATTTCAACCTTGAACTGTGTAATAACTGCAAAGCTTGAACTAATTCGTTAATTGCTTTTTTCAATAAATAAAACAGTTGGAACCACCTTCAGTGATTGTTCGTCATTCACTTGAATCAGTTGCTTCTCATGTTACGAATTTTTACAAAACAATAAGAAGATCTGCAATGTATGTGCATAATACATATCGAACACTGATCATGCACGTACTTGTCATAAAATATGATGCTGTTAATAATATAGTAATAAAAATATCTTTTTTGTGGACAGTATTTGTAAAATGTACAAATTTTCGGAGGAGTTTATTACATCACCTTTTCCATGCGTAAAATATTTTCATGCAAAATAATATTTGACAGTATAATTGACAGTGCGTCGGTGGCACAGTGGTTAGGACTCTCGCCGACCATGCACATGGTCCCGGGTTCGAGCCCTCGCCGACGCACACGTGATATCTATGGTCGGCCTGCGAATTTTGGGCTACCGATATCCACGCTGAAAATTCCATACTTGTACCAAAAATACGGTGTGGAATCAAGCTGTAATCAAAAGTAAAAAATAAAAATAAAAATCCTTCCTGTGACCCAATGCTCTCTCAACTGAAGCACAAACCATTTCATTATGATAATATCTGCTTTGTCTGTTTCCTCCAAGAAATTCACAATATCTAGTTGAAAACCGATTGTGAGATGTTTAGAAGTACATTTTGATACCTGAGAATATATATGTGAAGAAAAGTTATTTCATGTATTGGAGCAAGAGTAGATAATACCATTAGAGGTCATCTCTTAATTGATTAAACCAAACCGAATGAGAGTAAATATATGTCGAATAGAGAGATGAAAGTGTAACACTCCAAAAGCAACAGGCACAACCAAACAAAGGAAAAAGACGAAGATGCGAGAGAAAACGTCTTTATTCCCACTACGCAAGGCTTGAATTGCCCGGGTACAAGCTAATTATCGTCATTTATAACAAGTCTTGACAAACAGTCTTCTTCTTGCTCTAGCACGGCCACGCCAGCGTTCCTTTCTGAAAAAGAGGAAATAGGAAACTCATTTAGTGATATCATGATAGTTATTATGTCATTACAGAAGTTTTTATTAGCCCAAGTTTTAAGCAGGCGACCAATATTTTTATGAAAGATAACAATAGGTATATCTAAACAAATGATCAGTATTGAATTATGTATGTGTTGAAACTTTCTGAAGCGTGAAGGTCACAAGTAAGAAGTAGAAAAGGCGGATAGATTATCATGACAATTCCGAAGTGATAACAAATAATTTTTGAACATATAAAATGGGTTTTAAATCCCTGTTGTGGCTAGGACTTTCACGAATTTAAGTATATGACCTGTTTTATATATAAATGGGTTTTAGTCAATTTTATCATCCACCTCTGTGATGTACTTTGCGGTGGATGATGTTGAGCATCTATTTTCAGAGTCACTTGAATAGTACCATTTAATTTGTTTTTGTAACCACTGAAGAATAAGTTCTGTAGCCTTAACATGTAGAGATCGATGGGTCCTGCCTATGTACGTCTGACGGTACGTCAATGCAAGTTGGTAAAAACACACCAGTTGGCGGTAGTTATTTCGCACGCATATTAAAGACATCATCCAGGCTTAACAAAGATTTTTATTATACTTACTTATAACACAGTGATTATACTGATTATTATTCACTAATTAACAGTATCAATAAAAAAACCTTTGAGTGAACTTGTATATTCAAAAAGTTTATGCAACTTCTGTGAATTCATCAACCAATAAATCTGCGTTGAAAATTATTAAAAGCAACCGATAAAATAGCTTAACATTGTCATACGTTTGGAATTAACATTTCGCATACAAATCTGATTTAGTGCTCAAAGTTATGCTCTTGAAGCATGATTGATTACAAATGTCCTGTAGAATCAAGAGTGTAAATTTTATCCTATTCGGTACTCGCCTGCTGGATGTTTATACATTCCCATTGTGGTGAGAGCTGGCTGAAAGCCGAACATTGCAGACTGCGATTTATGTCAATGTTACGTCCCGAACCGGAATCATGAGAAAAAAATACAATAAGAAAGCTAAACTTTGAGGAGCTCACCAACGCGATTAGCAGATACATAGCTTAACTTTCTAAGAAACGGTCACAAGGAGTACAGAATAATCTCCAGCGAGTAAACAACCAAACAGAAGACGTTGCTTGTCCACTGACAACAATGTACATAAATATCTTTAAATTTGTCTCGATTTCCTCAATGAATCTGTTGCCTGATCCTTGTCTTTTGTCGTTACGCTAGTGATTAACGTTGCTTCCATCGACACTCGAACCCAAAACTCATCCTTTACAATGCCAAAGTACTATGAGATATCTTCAAAAGCATACGACATTTCAACAGGGAATCAGCATAAAATCGACATAAAATAATCTATCAACAGGAAATTCAAAATAACTAAGGGAAAAGACTGCTCATACCTGAGTTATGTATTGTGTCACAAGGTATAAAATTATACTTAAAATAAAATATAATTCTAAAGCATAGTGTACGAATGAGATGCACAGTCCTATGGTGGTCAGGAATTAATCTGCAGAAATACCTACCAGAAAATGAGGATTACTTAAACAAGGATAATATTTCATAAAGCATCCCGTAGAAAAAATAGGTGTGGTCTTTTAAGTTAATCATCATTAACCTTTTTGACCCATAATTAAATTTTAAATGAACTACTTCTATGGATATTGCATTGGGCGAAGTTCAACAATAGCGTCCCAGGAGTGCGAACCCTCCAGTGGACTTGAATGCGTGCTAGTCGTCGGATGACGGCATCTGTCACTATTATAGCTGAAATATAAAAGCGAATCACCAGCTAAGCGGCAAATATCACCCAGAACACGTTTTTAAGTACCGTTTCTACAATGTATTAATAGCTCGTTAGGATTAGAATTACGGTTCGGATTCAGGTTAGTGTTAGGTTTAGGGTCATTTATTTCAATTTTTTTTATTATCCACATTTCCATGGTAAGTGGTCGTCGGCCCTCTTACTGGAAACTACAGCAATTCAATTCAGGGCTTTTGCGGGGGGGGAACTGCACAACAGGAAAAGAGAGGTGAAAGATTCCAAAAAACAACTAATCTTCAGTCACCTTGGTGAATACATGTAGAGAAACTAGTCTGACTTAGTAACTAATACAGGGACGTATTTTTAAGTCATGTCACAGAAAGATACCCTGTTTAATGTGTTTTCATACAATTTCTTGTAAATATACATCATTTTTCATGCAAAATTCCTTATATTTATGATTGGTCGGCTCAAGAACACTCATGCATTCTCATCCCTTGGGACGCTGTTGTTGAACTGCGCCTTGCCTTGGTCACGAGACCTACAATGATATAGAAACCACGTCAAATAAGGCTTCAGTTTTGTTAGGAAGGACTATATATAGGAATATATCTACAGTCTGAGATGCAGATACTCAGTAATATACTTCAATTTCTATCTATGAGTTACATATTGAATTAACAGTAGAAAGTACGATTAGTGAGCTAAATTATTCCATCCACCTCTATTAGAAACTTGTCGTCAGTCAGTATTTTGTAAAGTACTGAGAAATACTTTAGGCAAAAGTTACCGAAATGAATTCAGTCAAAGTTATCTGTTTCAGTCACCTTCAAATTAGTTCTGTTTCCTAAAATTCCCTCCGTTTTGGGAGAAACTTTCAATACTGATGGTGTCATGTATTTTCACCGAGTGGGGCTACTAGTCTTATGTCAAACATTCCTTCTTCTCAGAGCCTACTGCAAAGTAGTAAATTGAAACTGGGAACTTATGAGAAGCTGGTAAGCATTTTATTATTGAACTGGTGTAGAGGCTTGCAAAAATTATGTAATCAAACCTTAGCTACTCGAAAACAGAGTGTATATTTCACTGATGTCTTTAAAACAGGTAAATCCATGCAATCTGCAAACAGATATATTTTCTGTGGTACCAAATAAAGGGCATACAATTTATCTTTTTTGTCAAGCTTAACACAATAGTAAAACTGATGAAGAAAGACCGGTTTTCAGCATATGCTTGTTTGTTTCTAACATAAATTTACAACTGATTCTTAAGTAGAGTAAAACATTGCCGATGAAGTATTTTATTAGATTGACTAATAATGATAAGAAGATGATTTATATATAGAAAATGCCAGAAAACGTTAATTTTATAGTGCGGAAGAAACAAAAGATTCTTATGTATACTTATATTTCCCAATAAAGACAAATTATATTTAATGGAGACCTCACTAAGTGGTCTATACACCATCATAACTTGAAGTAAACTGTCACCACTTCTCGGAGCAAAAAGAAGACGCCTTCACCCTTGCAGAGGGATATCGTAAATAACTAGATTTTAAATAGGAAATCTGAGAAAGTAGAATTATATACGCCAAAGTTTATTTAAAATGACGTGGTTATCAACGAAAAGAATGTCTTTTCCGTAAATTCACTTCAGAACTG